TCCCAGCCCTGCAGCCCTTCCGGCCCCTTCCTGCACCTTGACCTGCACCCCCAGCCTGTTCGCCCTTCCCATCCATCTTCTCCAGCCCCTCTCCCATCCTTCCTTGCCATCCTGGCTTCCCATCCCCTCTGACTCTCCCTGTCTCCCTGACTCCCTGCTTGCCTCCAGGGATGGCCATACTGTAATCCCTTCTCCTCTGTTCTCCTCTCAGGATCTGGGGCATGCATGCACATACACCTGGCACGTCTTCCAATTTGCCAGGTCTGGGACTTGAACCACAGTTAGCTATGTGGGATCCAGCTGCCTGAACCGCCATGCCACCAGTGACCCTCTTCTTTTTTTCCCCAAGTTTATTTATTTATTTCTTCCATGAGAGGGAAGAAAGGAGAGAGTTAGAGTAAGACAGATCACCCCTGGGGCCGACAGATGGCGTGGTGGTTAAGAGCACTGGACTCCCCCATGGCCGACCTTGGTTTGAGTCCTGGACCTGGCAGCTTACTTTCTCACTTTCCCTCTCTGTCTCTCTCCCTTTCTCTCTATCTCGCATCTGTCCCTCTCTGGCCAAAGTAAAATAAGTAAATGAATGAATAAATAAAGTTAAATAAAATAATTAACAACAACAACAAAAAAGGCAGGCCACCCCCACAGTGTCTTCATGCTGTGATCCAACCCCCAGGCTCAACCATAGGATCACAGAGCCATCCTGGGACCTCCCCATAAGGTCTCAGCGTTGGGCTGTTACCACTGTGTCACCAGGTCTGGCCTACTCCTCTTCTTTCTAAACTCCTCCCCCAGCCCAATTGCCTTCCTTCACAGATGCTTATTGAGATCCCTAATAAGTGAAGGGTAAGAAGTGGGGTGGGTCGCCCCTGGGGACATAGAGATAAGTTCCAGATCCTTCTGTTGAGGGGTCCTGATCCTCCCAAATCCTGCCTCCGTAGTGAGGTTCTGGAAAAAAAGGGGAGGCTGGAGACGCGGAGGAAGGCTTCCAGCAGGAGCCACCTCGGGGTTGTGAGGTTCCTGGATGGGGCAGGGGTGGTGGAGAATGGGGGAAAGGCCCTCCAGGGAAAAGGAGGGCATGGCAGGGAGGCAGGAGAGAGTGCAATGCTGGAGCCAAGCAGAGTACCTGGGCAGGAAGCGTGGACAGATGAGGAAGGAAACGCCTGGGCCGTGACAGTGGAGTGACTGGGCCTGCGGCAGCGTCTGGCATGGCTCTGGGCAGGGAGTTTAAGCAGAGCAGAGGGAAAGAATGGAGGGCGTGCCCAGCCGGTGCAGCGGCGGCGCACACTGCTAAGACGCTGGAATGCACAGCCTGGGACCACAGGGGAGGCCCAGGTTTGATTTCCGGTACCGAGCAGGCGCCTAAGCCTGCCCGCCTGTATCCCAACAACTCAGGAAGTCGAGGCAGGGGGATCATGATACAGCAAGACCCAGTCTAAAAAAAGAAAAGACAGGGGCCAGCAGATGGTGTAATGGTTATGTTGCTAGATTCCCACATGGCTGACCACGGTTTGAGTCCTGGACCTGGAGGCTTGAAACTCACTCCAGGTGCGTGTACTTGTGTGTGCGCGTGTGCCCCAAATCCAGAGAGGAGAATGAAGAAGAAAACTGTGGTATGGTCATCCCCTCTGGGGGTTGATTGATCTCCCCGGGGTTGATTTTTGTTTTCTGTCTCTCAGGTGAGTGCATTCAACCTATAGAAAAAAATCTCCCGAGAAAAGAAGAAAAAGAATGGCAACATGCACTCTTCTCACAGTGTGCTTCGAAGTCACGAACAGACGTGAGCCTCAGACCGGAGGCAGGCTTAGAAGGCCTTCTTGTTTTCATCTTACAGAGGGCAAAACAGGTTCAGAGAATGTCCTTGTCCTCGAAGTCCCAGAGCTACCAGCTGGGCAGGATGTGAACTTGGACCCAGGTCTCTGGACTCTCACTTCAGTGCTCTTTTGATGGCAGAGAGAGAAGAGAAGCCAGATCCTACATGACCAGATGCCCTGAGGGTGCTTCTTCCTCTATTCCGTGCACACGCATGTCCTCTATCACAGATAAATA